AATAATACTTTATATAAAATATTTTTTATTATTCCATGAAACTATCTACAATTACATCACATATGAAATACATCCAATAAGGACTACAATTTTCTTGGTTTCTTAAGCGCGCAACAAAATCAGGTAAAATATAATTAGGAACAAAATTGAGATTGCGATCAAATTATGAAAATGTTACGTCATCAAGTGATCTCCGTTTAATTTATATAGTGTCATTAAATAATGTTAAGCACTAGTTTTTTTAATAAAACACAATTAAAAAATAAAAAAGTATTTTTTTTATTTTACTGGATCGAACCCTGTTTAATGCATTTTGAGATTTGGACCGGACCCGGTCCGGCCGGAACAGTGGAGCATGACTCTACTATTCACTGAATATAGTGTGTTTGGTATTGTGGTAGCTTTTGTGGTTGCAGTTTGAAAAAAATTGTTTTATAAAAAGTATTTTTTGTTAAGATTGATTTTATATTTATGTATGTTTGGTTAAAACTGTGGTTGAAAGTGAGGTTGAATAAAAAGAAATTTAATATGTTTGGTTAAGAATGCTTTTGAAATTAAGATTATAAAATAATTTTAAAAAATATATATATTTATATTGATAATTTTTAATTTAAATATTATAGATTTAACTAATGCTATTATATCATGAAATAAATAATACTTTATATAAAATATTTTTTATTATTTTATTAAACTATTTACAATTCCATCATATATGAAATACATCCGACAAAGACTACAGTTTTCTTAATTTCTTAAGCGCATAACAACATCAGGTAAAATATAATCAGGAATAAAATTGGAATTGCGATCAAATTTTACAAATACTACGTCATTAAGCGATTTCCATCTAATTTATATAGTGTTATTGACATTAAATAATGTTAAATACTAATTTTTTAAATAAAATATAATTAAAAATAAAAAATATTTTTTTTATTTTTCTGAGTTTAACGCAATTCAATATATTTTGAGCTAAATATTGCTAGAATTGTTGTAGGATTATTCTCTAATATTAAATTTCTTATAAACTAAATTTAGTAGATATTTCACTTCAACAGTTATGACAACTTTTTAGATTTTAGGATAGGGCTGTCGGTAGAATAGTTTTTCATTTTATTTGCTATGAAATAATTCTGTAAAAACATAATTTCTTATAAATATATCATTCAAATGTGAATAACTTAAAATCCAAATGGAAGAGACTTTATCTCCATGCGTTATATTAAGCTAATTAGACAATACCTATATCAAGAAATAAAAAAGAAGAAGTTTTGCCCTTGAAGCATAACATGACATAGATGTGAGTAGCTATTTTATATCTAATCAAATAAAAAAAATTGTTATAAAAGAGAGTTTAAATTTTAAATTTTTTAAAATTAAAAATATATTTGAGAGTGTAGTTATAATTATTTTTAAAATATTTTTTTATTTAATTATATATTAAAATAATATATTTTTTATTTATTGTTAGATTTTTTATTTTTAAAAATTATTTTTTATTTATTGTTACGTACGATTCTGATAGATAAAACAAAAGATTAATCATTGCTTTATTCATTGTTTTATTTATATATATATTTTTGTCTTATTTATTCTTTTCAAAATTTATTTATTTTGAACTGGTACAAAATAATAAAAGATAAGTTTTGTCCGGCCTATATATTTGAAAGTAAAGAATTTTTTTCAAAATATTTATAATTTTAAAATATATTTTAAAATTTTTAAAACTCATTGTTAAATCCGTATATATCTAAAAACATAAAAATATAATTTAAAATAAACTAGTATTTACAATTAATAAAAAAATCAGTACAACCACAGCCTCATGCAAGACCTACCGCAACATTGATGAGAGTAGCTGCATCAAATAAATATATTTTTTTATTGTTACAAAAGAGTGTTTGGATTCGAGATTTTTAAAAAATAATTTTCCACAATAATCTTTTTTGGATTCGAGATTTTTAAAAAATAATTTTTAAAAAAAATATTATTTCCACAATAATCTTTCCAAAAAAACACTTTAAATAACCACCGGCACGAGAAATAAAGTTTTTATGGTGACGTTACTGTCCTTTTGTTTTCCAGCATTCATGTTTTCGTACGCCTTTTTTCTTGCCATTAATTATCCTGACCCTTTTTGACTCATCGTTGTCTCTCAAAGGGCTGTTAGCTTCGACTTGCCGATGGACTGAGGTAGCTTTCTTGTCTCGTTCTCTAAGCCAAGCACCGCTAGGCACTAGGACGCGGTAGCTCCACATCCGTGGAAGGGAAAAGCATGGCTGTCGCTGTCTTTTCTCTCTCAACTTGGACGCTGTGCCTCCAGAAATGAAACGTGGCATTGTTCAGAACCATAACATTTAAAAATGCCATATTTCACTAAAGATTTCTGCTGCTATATTAATTTCTTATTTTTCTTATATTATATATTAATTTCCTAATTTATCCGATGACAATGCAACATTTCTAGAAGAATTAAGGTAGTCAATTCCATTTCATTTGGTTTGAAATAGCTAAAATATTTTATATTAATTAAAAAAATAAACAAAACAGAAATAAATATTTCATTTTAAATTTTGGCATGTTTTGGATTTTTCGACTAAATTCTATATGGAATATTCCGATTTCATTCTAGATGTTCTATTCTGCTCTTAAAAAGCCATTAAATTAAATTGAACCTTATTCAATTTAATTAATTAAATCACTCAATTATAAAAAAAAATTTAATTACTATTTTTAATAATAATGATATTAATAATAATATTGAAAATTATTATTATTGTTTTCATTAATAATAATATTAATTTTTTAAAATTAGATTTATCACTAATATATATGATTTATATTCATGTTGTTTTTTTTTATGTTTATACTTTTTAGAAATTTGAGCAAAACAAGAGATGCTTTAGATTCCATTAGTCTTGATAACATTGACTTAATTTTATATTTAAAATATTTGTGGTAAAATATTTTACTTTCATAATATTTTAATATTTTATTTAAATTAAATTACTTTAAGTTAAAGATCTATTTAATCTTGACTATTTAGAAATATTTTAAATTTTAAAATTATATTTGTTTGGTATTATGTTTGTATTAAATAATTTATAATTAATTTATCTTGAATTTAAATTATATTTGTTGAATATATATATATATATATATATGAACAGTACAATCCCGAAACGGCATGCCGAAACACTCTAAAACTAAAACATTCTATTCTAATTAAAAAAATAAAACACTTATCGAAATAGAATTGACAATCTTGAAAAGAATACCTACTTATAGTAAATGTCACGTTTTTAAAATATGATGAAAGGATGTTATTTCATTGGTTATCATTAATTTCCTAATTAATCTTAGGAATTTTTAAGATATACCATTAGCGCATGTTATTGATGGATTTTGTTAAATGATTTTTTTTTAATTTTTTTTACTTTTAGGGGGTGTATAAGATAAAGATAAATGATATTTTTAAAAGTATTTTTTATTTAAAAATATATTAAAATAATTTATTTTTAAAAATTTATGTTTGATTTTAATGTATTAAAATAATTTAAAAATACAAAAAAATAATTTAAAATTAAAAAATTAAAATTTTATGAAATAATAATTGAACTGCTTCCTCCATGCTACTCTAACATTTTTTAGTATTAACACATTAATTTTTTTTATTAACTTAAATGTTTGATCAATTACCACTATAATTATTTTTAAAAAATTTAAGTTTGCTTTTATCTACTAAATAACTAAGAAAAATTAAATAAAACTCACTTTTTATTTATATTTTTATTCTACTTATTTTTAACTTAGATCCATTTATTTGTTAGAAATTAGTTTTTTTTTTAAATAAATTTTAAGAAAGTGAATTATTTTCTAATGTTTGGTAGTGTAATAAAAAATAAGTTGAAAAACATTTTCTAGTGTTTGGTTATGTTATGGAAAATGAGCTCGAAAATAACTTATTAATATTTTATTTTTTTTAAGTTTATTAAAATAATGAAAAACAAATCTTACAAATTAAAAAGTTGAATGAAAATAAAATTTCATAAATTATCTCAAATAAAATAAATAATAATCAAAATAATAGAGATCTAATCTAAAAAATAAAAAATTAAAGATAAAAAAATTAAAATAATAATAATTAATATTTTATAAATTATTTCAAATAAAATAAGTAAGAATAAAAAAATAAGAATCAAATTTGATAAATAAAAATTTCAATAAAAAAATGATAGGAAAAAAAATAATTATTATAATAATAAAAACTAAAGTTAATATAAAAATTTAAATTTTAAGAAATAAAATTAAAAAATAAATATTCAAAACAAAATACATATAACAATTAAAATTTTGAGAATTAAATTTGATATAATTAGCAAATAATATGATATTTTTAAATTTTTCATAACTTTTAGAAAATATTTTTTGTCTAAATTTTTTAGAATTTTTTTTTTTAAATCAAGTTAAATTTTTCTTTATCTAGAAATTATTTTTTTAATAATAATAAATAAAATTTTAAAAATAATTTTTTAAATAGTGAATTATTTAAAACATAACCTTAATAATTTTTAAGTGTAAAAAACTAATTGAAATACAGGTAGTAATTGACTGGAAAAACAACCACCCACTCAATGTTCTATTATTATCTTCGTTGCTGTATCACTCTCATCTTAATCGAAAAGGCCAAATGGACCATGCCAAAGCCATAAAATCTGGACTAAAAACACAAAAAAAGAATCCTCCAAAATGCTACAATATCATCCACGATTAATTGTATCTTAGTTTATAGTGAATATATATACTTATATATTTTATTATACAGCAAAACAACTATGCAAGTCCATAGTAAATGTTTCTTAGTCTATAATGTATGTACGTACAATAAATACATAATAAATTATTTCATAGTGCATTTTACATTCATATACAATAAAAATCTCGCAAGTTTTAGAGTTATATATATATATATGAAGGGATTAGAGTTCAATACTATTGTAGTATGCAACATTTGTTTTTAAAGATAAAAAGAGAAAAAAACATTATGAAGAAAACACTCCTCTTACAAGCAAGGAAGCAGGAGAGGAGAGGCTTGAAGCGCTATGGTAACATGTTAAAAGAGTATTAGAAAATATAATAATAATTATTTTTAAAATATTTTTTATTGTCAAAATATATTAAATAATATATTTTTTATTTTAAAAAATATTTTTAATATTAATACATTAAAATAATTTAAAAAATTCAAATTTTTTAAAATTATAATTTCAATGACGTGCGCAGGTGCTTACTTGCTCGGAAGATAACTTTAACAAACACGGTTCAAGAAATGTTAAATAATTGCTCTCAATTCAAAATGTTAAAGAGTGGTTAGGTCATAATATCAAAAGGTAAAGTTAATTTTTAAACCTTTTCTCCACATTTATATATTCATTAATTACATGGTATGTCATTCCAGGCGGATAGTCCTATATCCGATATGAATCAAATAATAGCAATATCTATGTCATTCTGACGTGCTGTGCTTAACAATTCCAAGGGTGTCGAAAGCTCGTCACCCACTGCTTTATTTTTTTCTAATTATTGTTTTTTAATATTTATTAGTTTAATAGTTCTCTCTTGTGTACTGCTCGAGTGCTAATTAAGTTAGTCTAGCATTTAAGAGAATTAAAAGTTGCAGTTCAGTGAAGAAACGACGTCGAGATTTGGTAAACTGTTCAAATGTCATACTTAATTAGGAAGGGGGTAATAATTATGTTATTTAATCTTGATTGATATGTAAATTCATCTAAAAATAAATACCCTTATTGTGGAATAAAATAAGAAAAATAAAGTCTAAATCCAGGCATACAAAGTAAAGTCTACCTTGATGCATCGACCTTCCAATTTCATTCGAGCAATAATAAATTAACTTTCAAATCACTCTACCATAGGGACAAAAAGAGGAGGGTAAGGTAAAGAATAAGAAAGTTTGATGATCCTCTTTTGGGTATTCGAATAAATTTGATGGAAGACTATTCAACTTTTGTAATATGATTGGTGTTGTTGTATAAGATATTTTAAAAGTATTTTTTATTTGAAATTAATTAAAATAATTTATTTTTATTTTTAATACTAGTATATCAAAATATTTTAATTAAAAATATTCTAATTATTCAGTAAATTAACAAAATGTTTGTGCAACTAATTAAAAAATAATAATTAATGGGATTCTAATTTACACACACTTATACTTACTCATATTATCGTATTGCATATATATCAATGAATGTTTTTATAAAAATATCAACATTAATTTTCTAAAAAATACTACATGGAAGGAAATTTGAATAGAATCATATATATATTGGTACAAAAATGAACAAAAATCTTTTTTTATAGATGGACTAAAGTTTAACATGATTACATTATCATTATATATATATACACTGGCAAATATTAAAGATATGGAAGCTAGTAAAAAGTATATTCTATTTTTTTGACAAAAAGGTCTTCTTAAAATTAGTAGAGTTTATCAAAATGTGTAAATCATTTTCTGTAAATGAGTCAACGATAATGTAATAAAATGCTTATAAACTTTTAATATTTATTTTTATCATAGATATAAAAGAACCCAATTTAGTAATTTGATAAATTTTAATACTTTTTTTTCTATCATTTTTTATATTTTAAGTATTGGCTCCTATTTCAAAACATTTTTAGAGTTTTAACTGTCAAAACAAAGTGCCAATAAGTTAAGACATAGATAAAGGATGATTTAAGAATCTTATTTTACATTAGTATATACTGTACAAATATACATATAATGGAAGAAAATGATTAATATATTTTTTAGGAAATATTAAAATAGTATTATGCTCTCTTGTTTTTAGAGTTAAAGTTGGAATTACATATAAGCATTGACGTATATGTTTTTGAGAGATATATATAAAAAATTCCATGTGGAGTATATGTCTTTTTAATTTTTGCTTGAAAAATGTTTTCCTCTCAATAAAAGTGATAATTCTTAAAAAAAATAAGAGTGTTTTTATGAAATCAATTTGAACACAAAATTCAAACTTTTATATATTATTATAGATAAGTATTATTCTTATTTAAAAAAATGATCAAGTTAGATATATTGTTTATTTATAGAAAAGACACTGAGATGCTTGACTATCTTGCACTCAGGATAACCCTTGCATAAAGAAACATGGAAAAAATAAAAACACTCACGAGCTAGACGTATTGCTTATTCATGGAGGAGGCGCTAAGATACTTGACCATCCTGTACTGGGGATAACCTCGCATAAAGTAAGGTGGAAAAAATGACAATGTTCTAGGGTCCATATCTTAATAGCAAAGAATAAAATTGGATAAAAAATCAATTAAAAAAAAAACAAAGTCAGTCCATGTTAACTCGACTAACTTGTGACCCAAGATATGAAATGAGAATAGTCCCATGAAAAAAAAAAGGTATAACAAACCACAAAACTCAATGCCCAATAAATCAATGCTAAATAATAAAAATTAAAAAAATTCTAAAAAAAATTAAAAAATAAAAAGACCAAACTCAAACCAGGTAAATCATTAAAATTAGTGGACTAAATCATGAGACTGAGATTACCTTATAGAAGACAGACATGAAAACATTACAAATAAAAATTCTTAATTATATAAAAAAAAATAAGGACTATGTCTTGCACCAAAAATAAATAAAAGAAATTAATCATGGATTGAATAGAAAACAAAATAAATGAAGAAAATGATAGAAAAAGAGCAATGAAATAAATGATGACCAAAATTTGAAAAAAAATGAATAAAAATTCTAAAGGATAAATTGGAAAAAAATACAAAGTATAAAAAAATAGAAATTAAAAGAATAAGTTTTCAATTGGATATAAAAAATAAATAAATTAAATACAGAGAGATGAAATTGAAAAAAAAACTTTTAAAAGCATTAAAATAAAAAAAAATAAAAAAAATAAAGACCAAACTAAAAAGAAATACAAAATGAAGGACACAACTGAATTTTTAAAGGCTTAGCACGAATACCAAGGCTTCTAAGATAGTAAAGAAGGGAGAAAAAAAATCTATTGGCACTGAACCGTTGTCTGCCTTGCCCAATGCCCCACACTAATAATTGCACCAAAACCTTGCGTGTTGGATGAGACAACGATCGAGTTTTTTTGGCTACTAGAATTGTTATAATGTATCTCTAGACAAATATGGAGGACTCTTATGCGCTGATGCATGCTTGGTGTCAATATATTTTACTAATTTATTAATATATAAATAAAATAAATTTTAAAAAAGAATCCAACGAAGTATCATTATTATAAAAATAAAGTATCATTATTATAAAAATAAAATTACTTAAGAAGAAGGTGAGAATACCCTAGACAACCATTTTTAAATTTTGATAAGTCAAATGTTGAATGTGTAACCACTCTCTGTAGGGTCATTTTTTTAAGCAACCAAAGTTATAAACATTATTTCATTATACAAATACAAAGAAAATGATGAAAAACACCATCAACAAAAAACCATTCCTTTTAGATTTCAAGGCCAAAAGAATATTTTTTATATTGCATTTTCAAAGGTAAATGATAGATTTAACCCTGATCAATCTACAAATGACATATGTCTCCATTAGAAAAAATAATTTTACCCTAATACTAAGGAAATTATTAAGAACAATGAAGGGCAAAATAGTCATTACTCCTTTTGAATTCACAATAATTCTCTTTATATGGTTTAGAAAAGGGCTGAGTACTTCTAGTTTTTTTTTAATATACCTAAATATTAGGTATTATAATATTTGTCAATAATTGATTGTAATTCGGGACATAAAAAAATGTAGATATTTCAACTATTTTTTAACTCAATAGAACACCTGGAAATGATTTTTATTCCAAAGCCGATTAATTACAATTGTATCACATGATATGATTTTGGTATGCTTGCGCATGAAGTAATATTTTTTTTAAAAAGCTGATTTTTTAAAATTGCTTTCAATTGAAGTAATATTTTTTTTTAATATTAATATATCAAAAATATTTTAAAAAACAATTTAATACTTTTTGTTTTTTACTGTTCAAAGCCATTTGAAATACGTAATCGACTGGAAAAACAAACACTCACTGAGGTGAAGCCCACAGAAAAAACCAAAGTTAAATTGCGTGTAAACTGACCGGTCTCACAGAGTTTACCAATACTTCGTTGACACTGCCAATCTGATGATCAAGTCTGCAGGAGTCATAATAAATACATTTGAGTCACTTGAACGTAGCCAAGGTCCTCACTGTGATATCATATCTCTGTCTCTCTTTGGGTGTTTGTGACAAAAGAGAGTAAGTACCCTGCCTCATGGAGGATACCATAGTTTTGCGTTGGTCCACTTTTAACCACTAGCGAAAGCAAAAGCGAACACGAGTGTCTGACTTGGCTTGACTCGCAACCAACCCGCAGTGTTTTCTTTCTTTGTTTCGGCAGCTTGGGAGTCTTTAATTCGCGGCAGTTAAGGGAAACGGCTAGTGGGTTGGAGAAAAGTGGCGTTAGGTTCTGGTGGGTGGTGCATCCTCCCCTGGCTGACAGTCAAACTCAAGCTGGGAAGTCAAGCACTCCAAATGAGCCATGTTTGGAATTACTTTTGCCAGAAGGGTTCTTGGAGAGAACCAAAGATCGGGGATTTCTAGTGAATTCATGGGCACCACAAGTTGAAATACTCAACCACGGCTCGGTTGGAGGGTTTGTGACTCATTGTGGATGGAATTCTTTACTTGAAGCCCTTTGTGCTGGGGTGCCAATGGTGGCTTGGCCTCTGTATGCAGAGCAAAGGATGAATAGGATTTTCTTGGTTGAGCAAATGAAGGTGGCTCTAGCATTTAGAGAAGCCGAGGACGATCAGTTTGTCAATGCGGCCGAGCTGGAGGAGTGTGTGATTGAGCTGATGAACTCGAAGAAAGGTGAAGCTGTTCGAGAAAGGGTTCTGAAACTTAAAGAGGATGCAGTGGAGGCGAAGAGTGACGGAGGATCTTCTTGCATAGCCATGGCTAAGTTGGTGGATTCTTTTAATAATTGTAAACCGCGGGCTTGAAACCATTAGTGTTCAACAATGGGATCTATCTTGTTTGCTGATCATTTTTACATAAACATGAACTTTCAATATGTAATCTTTTAAAAGAAAAGTAAATTCAAATTAAGTTCCAATGTTCCTAACAAAGGCCCTGAGGAGACAAGGATTTGTGATGCATCAAGCCATTTTTATGTCACAAATTACATTAATGCTCTGTTCGCTAATGCAGCGGTAATAAATTGCTTAGTAGTATGTTTTTTAAGTTGTTTTTTTGTTCGAAAAAATTATAATTAATTTTTTATGTGTTTTTTAATAACTTTAATTTTTTCATATTAAAAATAAAAAAAACCTAAATAAACATGATCTTAATATGTTTTTAATTAAAAGATATCTTCACAATAACATCATGCAATATGCAATACATTATCAAACAAAACATGTATATTCATGACAACAAATCACAAATAATAGGGTAATGATAACTCGGAATAAAAATTAATAATTGATCATGTTAAGTCTCTTGTGCTCGTTGGTGACCAATAAAGTAAGTTGCATATTACTAAATGAGATGATATTTAATTTAATAAACTAGCTATAACCCCACACACACACACACAAATTTATCTTGTGATAGCATGAGTGTTGTTTGGCCAAGAACGCGGTTTCTCACGAGAGGACAAAGCATATTGCGGTATTGACCCAAGATATATAGGGAAAAGGGCCTTTAATCCCAAGAGGCTGATTCCTATATGGCGGCATCTGCGCATGTGGTTCATTTTCAAGCCACCAAAGCATTCTTTTTGACCGGGGATAAGCGGACTAGCCGGCTGAAAGGCAAAGAGAATTCGAAGGGAGCCTTAGCTTTTCTGAGGTTCTCCGAGTGCTATCTGCCTGAACGAAGCTTTCGAGTTTAAGTGTAGTTTTGGGTTTTTACACACAAATACTAGCTAACGTGACCCGTGATTCTTCGTGAATCAAATAATCAAATTTTTTTAATAGAGTTTTTAAACAAAATATAAAAGAGAATGTTTGTCTACTTTTTTAGTTTTTGATTTTTTAACTCGTAATGTCACTTTATTTTGCATTTAAATAAAAAAGGTTTATTACAACATATTGACAAAATATAAATATACACTAAAACACTTCACATTCCACGTGAAAGAAAATACATTATTCATATTGACAAAATATAAATATACACTAAAACACTTCACATTCCCCGTGAAAGAAAATACATTATTATAATATTTATATAATGAACTATAAAATGAGTTAGTAATTAATTAAAAAATATAAAAAAACAAAGGGCTTAGGGTAGGAGAAAAAATATATTTGAAAAAAAATATCTTTTCTGGATTTTTGTCAGATCACTCGAGTTTTGGATTGACCTAGTCAGTCGACTAGTTTATTTCAGGTCAATTGTAAAATCAGAATTTAAAATAAATAAACACATTCAACGCTGTTAGGTTTGGCCTTCCAACAAGACCCAAAGCGTTGAGTTCTGCTATGGGCATGGCCTAAGCTGTTGGGTTCTAGTTAGAAAAGATTCTAAGATGTTGGGTCTAGTAGTAGAAAGATCCAATTAGGTGTTAGGCCACGGTGGTAGGCAGGACCCAAGCTATTGGGTCCTGGTTCTAAAGCCCAATGTTGTTGGGTCTTGGTGAGATGGAGGACAGAGCCCTAGTTGTTGGGTCGTGGTGTGTGTGAGGCTAGGTCTTGCACTGGCAGAACCTAACACCTACATGGATCTTGCACCAGGCAAGATCCGAAGCTATTTTGAGTATTGCACACGTCAGGATCTAAAGCAATTATGGATCCTATACCTGACAAGACCCAACACCCAATTGGATCCTGCACACGTTCGAACCCAACCTTAATAGTTCCTGTAGGGAGCTGGACCTAACATGTAACACCCCAAGATTTCCTTATAATAAATGCAATTTTCATGAGCTTTACACTCATGAAAATAAGGGATTTTTTTTCTGTTAATATTTATAACATCTTAGTTCCACACATAATGTACCATAATAAATAATAAATGGTCAAGGAAATAAATTAGCATTTGATGTAATAGAAACATAATGACTAAGAAATGAGAAAAACATAAATACATTTTTTGTTTGGTTACAACTCCCATAAATTTAATAATATCTAAATTACTCCTAAAACAATTGTCTCGTAATGGAAAACTTCTTCTTATCGTTCATGGTAGGAGTTCTACATAAAACTAATATTTATATAAATTTTAACAATTATAATTATATAAAAATAAAACCATTGATTCCCTGCATTTTTATGATATTGTTATGTCATAAGTCATAACATGTTATTTGTCCACAAGACCTTAACATATTTTGTCCATAAGATCTCAGCTCATTGAAGTATACTGCACCTCTGTATTTTAACAACTTCACTCACTCTTGGTCATTCTAGTTGGGTATACCACCCATCTTTTATGAAACAATTATTCGTTATTTTTAAACATATTCACCTCTTTGTTCCATATTTTCTAGTAATGAAATTGACTTATCACTTTAATCTAGTCATCGTTATGTCAATGACCATCTTAATTACTTTGTTCAGCATTGTCTCGAATATCCATCTTGAGATTTATGAATTCATCCATTCTATCATGTCATCTTGCTAACCAATATTATAAACCTATTTTACTACCCGTTATATTTAACGAGAATACTTTCCATTATTGATACCTCATACTATCACATCACATCTTTCATTTTAACCATTTTATTTCTAACATTGAATAAACACTAGTTCCTATGAAAGGAACTAGATTCCCCTTCAGTTCCATCAATTACGGTTCCTTTCTCCCTACCAAGTCACTAATGCCTTACAACAAATTTTTAAACTAAGACACCAACCCTTCAATCTAAATCTTCAATTAGAATTTGTGTTTAAAGCCTTGATCCTTAATGCCCTTCCATTAATGTCTTTAGTAATTCCTAAACACTAATCAACAATATCACTCCAGTAAATAGTGTCATGTGTTAGCACTAACTGATCAATACCAAGTAATAACTTCTCATCTAGGATCACCCTAACAATTCTATTCTGCTCGTCCCTGCCATTTAGGAACATATTTTTTTCAATTCAAACAAGGCAATAATTTCTTAATCAGACAACCACTCTCATTCCTCTTCACCAAGCATTCACCTCTCAGCAGGTAGTAATGCTCATTGCCTAGAACATGGTATAATGCTGTAATATTTCAAAAATAAAAATTATCATGACATCTCAATCATTTTCACGTATTTAATCATAATACATTTTTTTTCTGATAAAATATTTTTTTTAATTTTTTTTTAAGATTTCATGTTAACATTACACTGTTTATATTAATTATCCACTTGATAATTGCTTCTATTAGTAACCCTTCAACCAGGATACTAGTCCCAAACATTTGGACAACTAGTTCCTCTTATTACGCCAATTTCAAGGCATTTATCACATTTACCCAAACTCGATTCCAAGTCCAGTCCATTACTTCTGACTATCCAAAAATCCAACCATCTAACATCTGACATTGACCCTGTAATCGGGTCATTAATCTATTTATCTAATTTCTGGGCACCGACCCCATCACCAAATCTTTTATTTATCTGCCCAATTTCTAAGCATCGACCCTATCACTAGATCTCTTATTTATTCACTCAATTATCGAGCACCAACCTATTTATTGGGCCACTAATTCATATGTCCAATTTACTAGGCACTGACCCTCTTTACCGGACCACTAATTCATCAGCCCAATTTCCCGGGCACTGACCCCTTTGTCGGGTCACTAATTCATCAACTTATTTTTCCAAACATTGATCCTTTTACCGGGTCACAAATTCATCTGTGTATTTCCTCCAAGCACTACCTTCATTTGCCCATTTTCTCTGGCCATTGCCCTTTTTATCGGGTCACTAATTCATCCGCTCAATTTCTAAGGCACTGATTCAACATATAAATTTTTTGCAATTAGCATAACCACAATATACATAATAATATCACAAAATTATTTTATTATCAACTTTAAAAGCATAACACATTACAATCTTTTTCCAAAAATATACGATACTATTTATATCAATTATTACAGTCCTTCAATTAGTTTTGTCGCCAATTCCTAACTAGGCAACTAGAACTTTTCAATTTTCTTAATAATAATAACATTGTTATAATAACATTGTTACACGTGTGCGACGTCGTGATGAAAACTAGAATGAGAGTCACCACCTAATATTTTGGTCACTAAGAATCCTAACTGGTCTCAAAGATCGGGTACGGGATTGGTTGCATAAAGAAAAGTATTAGCACACCAAATACATCTTATCTAAGGTAGGCTGTATTGTTTTATTGTCTGATAAAATCTAAAGCCTTGTCATATTTTCTTATTGTTGGTCTGTCTGTGGTTTAAGAAAAGTTCTCCCTGCTCTCCCTGCTCTCTCTGCTCCCTAGTAAGGAGATCCTTATCTTATCGAGTAAAACTTCATCGTGCTAACGTCAATAAAAGAATTTAATATTCGAAATATATCTTACGTATAAAGTCGCAACTCCAAATATTAAAAGAAAACAAAATAATTTTGTTTGGAATTTTTAAAATATTGACCTAGTTCTCGCGATTTTAATAAACTGGTTACTAAAGTCAAAATGCATATGAATACATATTCTTGAATTTTTTTTTGTTGTATGAAAATACAATATTTTATTTTTATTTTTGAGAGACTTAACCGTTTGCGTAAAAACAAAATATTTTTATTTTTATTTTTTAATGCCTTGAAAAATCCAGGTATTTTAATATCGGATTTGTATATTTACAATATATAAATACAAACCGATATTGATCAAAATTCGGTAACAAATTTGTGGAAAAACACAGATTTTTTAAATAATTTTTAAAGAAATTTTTTTTGAATGGGCTAGACCCGGCCAAAAAACTGGGCCGAGATCAGCCCAATAAAATGCAAATTAACACATATGGGGCTGGACTTAGCCCAGCCACATTGACAGGGCTGAGTCAACCCGGAAACCAGCCACAAATACAATTACCCGTTACGGTGCTCATGAACAGTAGCAGGGTAATTATTCCTTCTTGCTTGCGGAAACGTGCACAGTGCACGTTCTGCATGTAAGAAGATAAAATGAGAAACTAAGACAAAAGGAAGAGAATTGCATGGAATGGAGGCGCTGTCGTTCACGGTGCTGGTGGCTCACGGTGGCGTTGATGTCGCGGCAACTGGCTGTGGTGGTGGCTGAGAAGCCCGGTGGCGGTACTGGTTTTCTTCGTCTTCCCTGTGCAGAGGTGCCAATGTTTCTCCCCTCTTCGTCCTCTGTTCCCCTCTGCAATCTCCTCATTACTCCTCTGTTCCCCTCTGTAATCTCCTCATTACTCCTCTGTTTTTTCTCTTTTTTACTGCCCCCCCCTTTCTCTCCTGTTCTCTTCCTTGCCCCATGGTCACCCCCTCTGTTTTTCTCCTTTTCTCCTCCCCTCTGTTTTTTCTTTCTGGTGCAGCTGATGCTTGTGCGTTGGCTGGCAGTGCTTCTCTTTGTTTCTTTTTTATTCTCCCTGTGTTTTTTTTAGTCGTTTTTCTTTCCGCCCTCCTCCCCCTCTGTTTTCTTACGCTCCCTCCAGCTCCTCCCTGTTCTCCCTGTTTTCCTCTCCGTCCCCCTTTCCTTTTCTTTCTGTTTTTCTCTCATGTATTCCCCCCTCTCTTTTTCTCTTCTATCCTCTTTCCCTCTCTCTCTGTCTCGTCTTTCTTTTTTCTGTGTTTCCCCCTTGTTCTGCTCTCCTCTCTTCCCCCTCTGTGTGAAACAGACTGTTTCCTTCTTCCTCCCTCGTTCTTCCCTCCTCTCGGGTTCTTCTGCTCCTCCTGATCTCCCCCTTCTTTCCCTTCTCTGTTCT